TTTAGCGCTCAATTACTTCACACTTTCTGTTTCTTTTATATAGGAGTTTTTTATAACCAAATTTTGAATGTTGTAATCCTTTACTCCTTGGTATAGGTAGAACTCTAAATAATGCTTATGGACAACAAAAAATAATGAAAATGGAAAAAGTACTTATTACGACTCAATCCTTGAGATGTTAGGCATGAAAACATTAGAACACAGACGATTGCAACAATCGCTGACGATATTCTTTAAAAGTTTTAAGGAAAATTCCTTATGAAATATGACGAATTTATTCAAACCCCGAGTCATAACATACAATCTGAGAGGCAGTTGGCTGAACTAGAACAAAATTACATTGTATTTTAAAAATAATAATTTTCTCCTGATGATCACATAGTGTCGAAAACGTTTAGTTCTTTTGGTAGATAATTCAAAATTATTGAAACAGCCGATTTATCCACGGGTCGCGCTAGTTCATCATTTCTCGCCTTTGGAATAAGCTGCCATCATTTGCAAAAGAGCGCACTTAATATGTCATACGTATGATGCACGATTCTCGCAGTAGAGAGCGCTATTTATGCAATAGCGAAAATCAGACCTGAAAAAAAAATCAACTTAATATGTCATCTTAACAAAGACGTTCTAAAAGATAATTTGAAATTTATTTGTTGGTGACGCAACAATTGCTTATAATGTTATTTTATTTATATTTTCATGGACTTAATGAGTACGTACACATTTCGATAAACCATACTCTTACTAATCACATCGCAATTATCTCCAGATTTGACCAAAAAAAATGTATTAGTGTATGTAGTCTCCAGATCTTATTTCTTTTCAGTTTAGTTTTTCATAGGTTTTAGCACGTATATTCTTTAGTTTTTTGGCTATTCAAACACTAATATCATCAGCCTAAGGCCTTGGAAGATTGGGAACCCCCAGTACATATTTGACGCTAAATGAATCATCTTATCTTATTAGGGATACAACAAGGCATATTTAGAGTAACTAGGTCTTGTCCGTTCGATTTAGCTATGAATCCTCGGTCATCAAGTCAATGTATAAAGGGGGTAAGTTTCTAAAGAAACTGTACTGCTCCATC